TATAAGTGTCACAAACAGCCCTAGAGTTCGTACTAGAATAACACCTTAAGACACAAATCAACCAAAACCCTAATGTCACCTAGATACTCCAATGTCACCTCAAGTATCCGTGGATATGATTATACGATATGCATCACACAATCTCAGATTCATCCATTCAACCAACACATAGAACCTCAAAGAGTGCCCCAAAGTTTCTACCAGAGAATCACGACGAAAACGTGTGCCAACCCCTATGCATAGGTTCATGGGCGGAACCCGCAAGTTGATCACCAAAACATACATCAAGTGAATCACGTGATATCCCATTGTCACCACAAATACGCACGGCAAGACATACATCAAGTGTTCTCAAATCTTTAAAGACTCAATCCGATAAGATAACTTTAAATGGGAAACTCAATCCATTACAAGAGAGTAGAGGAGGGAGAAAACATCATAAGATCCAACTATAATAGCAAAGCTCGCGATACATCAAGATCGTACCACCTCAAGAACACGAGAGAGAGAGAGAGAGAGATCAAACACATAGCTACTGGTACATACCCTCAACCCCGAGGGAGAACTACTCCCTCCTCGTCATGGAGAGCACCGGAATGATGAAGATAGCCACCGGAGAGGGATTCCCCCTCTAGCAGGGTGCCAGAACGGGTCTAGATTGGCTTTTGGTGGCTACGGAAGCTTCTGGCAGCGGAACTCCCGATCTATTTGCTCTCTGATCGTTTTAGGGTATATGGAGATATATAGGCGGAAGAAGTACGTCAGGGGAGCCACGAGGGGCCCACACGGGTGGAGGGCGCGCCCCCCTACCTCGTGGCTTCCTTGAAGCTTCCTTGACGTGGACTCCAAGTCTCCCGGGTTGCTTTCCTTCCAAAAATAAGTTCTGTGAAGTTTCAGGTCAATTGGACTCTGTTTGATTTTCCTTTTCTGCGATACACTAAAACAAGGAAAAAACAGAAACTGGCACTGGGCTCTGGGTTAATAGGTTAGTCCCAAAAATAATATAAAAGTGCATAATAAAGCCCATAAACATCCAAAACAGAAGATAATATAGCATGGAGCAATCAAAAATTATAGATACGTTGGAGACGTATCAGGTTGCACCCCCCCCCACCACCCCCACCACCACCATCAGCACCATCAGCACCACCCATAGCTAGGAAGAGGCCTGCAACATCCACGGCTCCTCCAAGACCAGCAAAGAGGAACAAGGTTGCTGCTTCTGCTACTCCAGCACCTGCCACATCAGCACCTACCAAGAAGACCAAAGCAACCAAGAAGACAAGGGCTCCTAGCACATCTTCACCAGGCAAGAACACAAGGTCATCCATTGCCTCTCCAGCAAAGAACACCAGAGCATCAACAGCTAGCAGAGGAGGGGGGTACACAGTTTTCAATGCTCCAAGGCAAGCTGGCAACTCTGAGATGGAGATTGGGTCCAAGAGGGTTAGGAAGCCAACTGGAAAGTGGAAGGCATATTTCACTGCTAGTGGTAACCACTGAAGATTCCAACATTTGAGAAAGCTGTCTTGTTGTATGAGTGTTGAAACCTAAGTGTTTGCATTCTTAAACCTATGTATTTGCTTGCTGAAACTTGAGTTTTTGCATTATGAAACCTACGTATTTGCTTCCTGAAACCTGAGTGTTTGCATTATGAAACCTATGTATTTGCTTGCTGAAACCTAAGTGGTTGCATTATGAAACCTGAATGTTTGTGACTTCTGGTTTGGCAGCTTGGTGAGGTTGATAGATTGATAGAATCCCAAAATACTGATGCAAAGATTGATAGATTCAGACAACCCTCATGCAAACATTGATTCATTTTATTCAAATATTCATAGATTCCACCATCCAAACATTCTTTCATACAAAGAGTTGTACAGAAATGGAATGGATACATAGCTCAGACTCTCATTCATACTTAAAATAACTACTAGCAACAACTCTCAATCGTAACGATCGAAGTTTGCTCTGGTAGAAGGGTGAGGAGCGAGTACTGCTTGTGCCCTAGCCCACCTGATGATCTTCCCTGAGCTCTTGCGCCTGCCGCCAGGGACAAGAACTGAGAACTCATTTGGGTTGCACTTCTCCAAGATCTTCTCTGCCAGCCTCCTCTTGAACTCCAGCTCCCAATCTGATGGCATGGGCACCGCACACTGAGCCCTTTGCCTCCTCACGTCCACTACCTGCACTGCCTCCTCTTCCTCATCTGTCACCTCCCCAAGCTCTGGATCCATCTAGGGTTTCTAGAGGTGGGGTGTGGCGGCTGGGTTCTGGACAGGGAGGAGGGTGGGTGGAGGAGGCTATTTATGAGCAGTGGAGAGGCATCTAGAGTTAGTAGGCCTAAGTTTGTAAACATAACTGGGCCACAAAGTCCAGGTACAAAGCACTAATAAACACACTTCAACTATCTTATAAAGATAAAAAACACATATCATAGTCCAGCTGTGCTTATCACTGACTCCATAACATAGCATAAGAGGTTCAAATACAGGCAGAACATTCATTACAACATAGTTCATAACTTAGCATTAAAGGTTCTAGTAGCATACACTATAGTTCTTAACATTGGCATAGACATAGACTAGATTAGCTTCGCATTCCCCAAAATGTACACCCCATATCTTCACATCAGATTGTTAGGCCACATACTTATAAAGGCCTTAGATGTACTTCACCAACTGCAGAACACACTTCATGAATCAAGGATGACCTTGATTTTCTCAAGTTTCTCCTTGCTTGCATGACCATCTTTCAGCGGCTCATTCACCACATGCTCAAGCTTGGCCTTCTCAATCTTAAGCAAATCTCTCTCCTGTTGAACCTCCTTCATTGCCTTCCTGGTGTTCTTGATAATGTCAGCTTGACTCTGTAAAATGCACCTATGTTCCTTGGCAAGTTTGAGCCTCTCCATCTGAACCTCCAACCTAGCACTCTCTTCTACCTCTTTCTTCTTCTTCTCAAGGTCTTCCTCCTCAACTGCCTTCTGGTAATCCATGTGGTCTACCCTACCATCCTGCCAATCAAACATCTTGGATACATCTTCGACAAGCTTTGTGTACTCAATGCACAGCTTGTCATTTTCAGTCTTAAGCTTGGCCAAATGCTTCTCATACTTCTGCTTATCAACTACCCTGCCACAATTATGTTCATGGAACATGTCCCACAACCTTGACAAGCAATTCTGAAGAATTGTAGGCCAGGGCTGGTCAACCCACTCAGTAACACCACAGTTAACACCTTCACTCTGCATTTGAAAATTGTAATATACATCACTAAGTGCACTCAATTTCATAACAACAAATCATATCAGACTAAGAAACTGAAGGTGATGCTTAAGTAAGCTGAATATGTTGTTTAATATAACTCAAACTATAACTGAAACCCAACCTGCTTGTACAAGTTCATTCACAGATATATGCTTCCTATACAAAAGCATATTTGATAGTAACCATATCCCTCAATACCTTAATATTGTGTGGGTTCAGAACAGCAACTTGTCATCATAGTAAATACATGTGTGGGTTCAGATGAAAATGATTCCAATTAAGGTACTGTACCTGCTGCACTAGACAACCATAGAAACGCCTTCCAGTTAAGGTTCCTTCAAATGCCACACACTTAATTGGCCTCATGTGGTGCATCATGCAGGTGGGTTCAAAAAGCTCCATCTGGCCATAGAAAAGAGGCTCCACGGTGGTGTCAGGAGTCTCCTGCATGAACACATCAACAAAATCACCTTAGCTTACAGAACCAGACATAGATCGGAAGTCAATTCCCCAATCCAGGAAGAACCCTAACCCTAACCCTAGTTTTGAAGCATACATAAACCTAGCTCAAACAGCAACCATAACCCTGCCTACTAAATAACAGTAACCAAAGCTTACCCTAGCTCACCAAGATGAACCCTAACCTAATCTAGCTCCTAGATTAACCCTAGCTCAGCAAATCGAAAAACTTACCCAAAGAGCCATGTCCATGCTTGTGATGTCGCACTCATCCTCTAAGCTCGTATCCCCGTCATTCCAGGAAGGCATGGCGGCAGTGGAGCTTCAGCAGCGCAAGTCACCGCCGGCGTCGAAGAGCAGAGAGGAGAGGAGAGTGAGAGCGAGAGCAGAGATGAGTGCGGGCAGGGGAGCAGAGTGAGAGGGAGGGAGACGACTTAATGAGCGCACAAGCGGGTGCAGTCCGAGTAACGGCCGTTAACGGCCTCGCCGTCACGCGCGGCGCTGACGTGGCCTGACAGGCGGGCCCGGGCCTTCAGAAAACGGTTTAAAACGCTAGCAACGGGCAATTTGGGTTTTTTGAGACAGCCGACGAGAAAAGTGGTAGGTATCAGTCACAAACAAAAAAGTGATGTTTTTTGGAACCCTAGCACGAAAAGTGGTAGTTTTATGCTATTTACTCATTCTCTCGAGATACACAATCATATACGTATATGGTTGTGAATTCAGACAAATTGTGTCACACCCACTAAAAAAATCACTCTTGACAAATATAATTCATAAAAAAGAGACAATTATAATTCGTAAAAGCTTCTCACAAGCAAAGCTAAGGAGCTCTCGCATACTACGTCTCATTTGCCTATATTCCTGTGTGGCCACTAAAACACAACAGCCATCTCTGCACTCTGCTTTTCTGGTGTGATTTTGTATAATGCTTACACTCAAGAAACCCGGTATTTTGTCACAAACTGCTAGACTAACTATACCATGGCCAAACTCAGGCGGCATGTTGCCTCCTCCGATGCAAAGGCCAGGAAGATCTTCTCCCGTGTATCTATTCTTGCCACCATTATGGTTCTGAAACAAGCTATGACTACTGCGCAGATCAAAGCTAGCTATTCACACATTTGGATCACTGCTCGTCTCGATCTGCAGAAAGCCGTCAGCAAGAGCGGTGGTAAGCACGGGTATAAATATCAGTTAATGTTCTCACTAGAGAAAAAGAGAAGCGACAAAGTGAATCTCTAACATTTTGTTGGTAACAAACCTGAATGATCAGACGATGTGAACGCCGGATTGTGGAGGCTGCCCTTGTTGCTGCCTATCACCGCTGTTCTCGCTCATGGCGTTACTCCCGGATCCTGGATGCTGACCTTCGTTCGCAGGCTGAGGGTGCGCCTGGGCTAACCGTTGGCTCCTCCTCCTGGATCTCCACCTCATGCACTCTACTAGCAGTGAGTTTGTACTGATAGCGATCCCGAACCCGGTGAATGATGACAGTAGGACCGCAAGGACTGCATTCACTCTTAGCTGCAAGTTTGGCGATAACATTAAGAGGTGCTGTAAAGGCGTTGTATCTGCATCGGATGTAATTATGGGAAGAAGCTTCATACCACGTTGTAAAAGATATGAGCAAACAGGATCACGATAGCAAACTGGAAGGATGCATAGGCCCATAGGTAGCTCTTGGTCACTGCAGGAGCAAAGAAGATTCGGATTATAATGTTGACGAGAAGTCCACTACCTATAACAGATAAATAACCCACAGCAAATTGGCGCAACAGTTCAACTGCAGCACTACTGGAATCGAATGTGCCACCATTGACACTTGCTATACATTATAAACTTATGATTTACTCAAAATTTTCAGCAAACTCAACACTAATTTGAGTTAGAAATCGGAAGGCGCAGTAGTGGAACACTAGAATTTTGGTCTTTCACTGCATAGACAACACTGAAAAGCCTGTTTACTATCTCAAATTCTCAATAAAATATCTAGTGTTCGTCATGCTGGAAATGCCTCTGACAGTAGCAAAAATGGCCCAAAGAATAGAGTATGCTTACTTACCCATAGTAGATGCTATCATGGAAGAAAGGAGGCCCAACACACACGAGAAAGGCAATGAAATTGCCAGTGCATGTGACTGCAAATCAGTGACCTGTTCCAGTGAAAGAGTAGATGCAATTTAGATGGCTTTCACAGAAATGGAAAAAAGGTTGAATTACATTCAAGTGAACTGGTAAAGAAACAAGCAACAAACACATACCAGAAGTTGTTCCAAGAAACAGAAGTAAGCAAGCATGCTAACCATCACTAAAATTGGAATGTCCTGCCAAAATCTGCACGAAACTGGAAGTATCAGATTTTGCCAAACATGCAAACTCATCAATCAATATTTATTACTCCCTCTGTTCCTAAATATTTGTCCTTTTAGAGATTTCAAATGGACTACCACATACGGATGTATATAGACATATTTTAGAATGTAGATTCACTCATTTTGCTCCATATATAGTCACTTGTTGAAATTTTTAGAAAGACAAATATTTAGGAACGGAGGGAGTATATTGCTGTTTTCTAACTTCTAAGAGTAGATCAATCACAAAAATTACTGGAAAATACATTTGAAATTAGTTTTCTCTTCTCTGTTTCAGAAAGTGCACATAACCAGGAGAAAATGGCGGCATTCCTACCTATCAATCCAGATAGCACTGAACCTAAAAATACTTCGTATTTGCTAACCAAACTATTCTCTGAAGCATTCTTACCTGTACTGTTGAGCAGCTCTTTGTTGAGCACCATTTGCTAGTCGCCTGGTAACGGTTTGAGTCGGAATTCTCAACAGAGTCACCGGCAGATTCTTAACTTCTTGTCTGCAGACATCGCATATCTTGTTACCCTTGATGCTAAACCATTTGACAGCACAATCTTGGTGCGCGAGGGCAAGCTCTCCTTTGCAGCTGCACTCCATTTTAAGTGTTTCTCCGCCTTCGTTGAGTTCAACAAAACAAATTCTGCAGACTGCCTCTTCTTCAGGAATATCTTCACCTCCATCTTCAGGACCTGACAGGACGACTGGAATGAACAAATGCTGCTTCTGGAAGGAAATGGTTTGGTCTAATAAAATATCAGGGTAAAGGTTTAAAGAGAGTAGATACCGTCAACTGTTTCTTCAATGACATCAGTCGGTGCAACTGTATCAGCTGGAACAGGTCGCGGAGTTGCTGAAATCACACGGATGACACCCAATGAATCTGCTCTCCTCAAACTCCTGTTTTTGCGATTTCCTGGTACTGAAAGTGATCGCCTAATTTGTGCTTGAACTTCTTGTTTCTGACAACATCATAAAACATACTGTTAAAAAAATAGGACCTTTGCAAAACTGCAATTGCTTAAGACAGTGCAAGGCCCCATTTGCAACTGGCCCGTGTAAAAGGTATATAATCTTGCATTTATCTGGATACAGCAGAAAATATGAATGTACTTACGGATGTAGTTGGGTGGTCGACTATCTGAATTCCCGGAGAAGAAGCTTTATCAGAGGTTCCAACAGGTGTGACTGGCAAAGAATAGGTACGTTTTGCCGATAATGAGTTAATGACCTTTCTAAAAGAGAAAGATCCTGGTTGAGTTGGATTATCTTGCGACCCTTCCGACGCCGTCCCAGGAAGTAGAAGGATTGTCCGGTCACCTTCATGTGTTGAATTCCTTAACCTGAAACTCTGCTGCTTGATAGATGATTTTGGTCTAGCTGAGTTAGGCCTTGGCGGCAGTCCAGCTCTTGTCGAACTGGGGCTGGCGGATATATTAATCCTCGTTGAACTAGGTATATGGTTATCCAAGGTCCTGGTTGGTATTTGCAAAGAAAGGTTTGGCCTTCGCGAATTGTTCCCCTGTGCACCTTGGGCAGTGTCATCCTGGTCATGCACCTACATGGTCAAGCAAAGAACAAAATTAAAATTGAGCTTGTAAAAGTAATGGAGTAGAAAGAAGAGCAAGGCATACAAAGATGTAAGAGACGCGTAATGATTCTTGAGCCGGTACTCTTAATATCAAGCTCAGGGCACTCATCTTATAGCTTATAAACACATGGAGTAGCACCATCAGATGTTCTCTTTCAGCGCTCTTCCACATAGTCTAGCACTCTAAATTCAGTGATTCACACACTGATAAGAAACAAGAATCTGAGGAGTGTGACAGCACCATCACCATGATGCATGAGTCTACGAGGACCATGGCTTAGAATAAAATACCTACCCGAATGATCATACCATTTCCAATGTTAAAAATTGAACGATGGTCCTCTATTCCCAAGGCAATAATGTATACAACTGTTTTTTCATTTTTTTTTGTGATGAACAATGTATCCAACAAAATCACACTAGTAGCTACATGAACACAAATCGAGCAAGCCATTTCAGTGGTGCAAATTCTCCAGAAACTGTCAGGAAACCTGATAATAGACGCTAGCTACTGCTGCTATAATTAGAGCTCATGTGAGGACGGTGACAGACGGAGATGGAGACCATGGTAGGCACACATGGCCCGTTTTTGACAATTGAGGAAAGCCGCTTTGTTAAGAGCAAAATAATCTAAGAAACAAATCGATCCTCCACTAGCAATTGAACCTGCCCCAGCAGAAAAGGAACGCACCCCCGATTCAAAACCGAAAGATTCGCCCAGCGCAGCCTCGATTTCAAAACCAAAGCCCGCATCTCCCGAGCAGGAGCAGCCGAAAAATCAACCGAGCACCGGACTACCCGCAGAATTTAACGGGAAGCAGAGTCGTGCAATCAGTACTCCTAGATGGTAAAACGAACGGCAGCACAGGTACGAGCAGTCGGCAGAGCGCCGCAGAATTTGCGCAGAAAAGCAAGGGAGGTAGCCGAGGCCGGGGCATAGAGGAGCGGGGGTGGTCGGGATCTCACCGCGCGGTCGCCGGAGCGTGGCGGCGCCGGCCCGTCGGCGCGGTCCATGGGCGCGGGGCCGTGGACAATTCGATGCGGTGCGTTTGGCGCGGAGCGAGAGGCTGCGTCCCGATCCGGGGCGAGAAACGGAGAGCGAGGGGGGAGGAAGGAGGCGTGGCGTTGTCGTTGGGAAGCAGCTGCGCTGCTCGAGGCAGAGCCTACTCTGGTAGAGTAGGCAGGGGAAGTCCGGCGGAAGCAGAGCCTTGCGGGTGGGCTGGGCGGCCCCTTTTTTCACCCTTTGGCCCTCGGGTTTCCTACTTATCAAGAAAACCGGAGCCACACCCACCTCAGGATCTCGCTCTCAAATCTCACCAAGCAAACTCGTCTAAAAAAACAGAAAAAGTCTCGGCAGTCAGCAAACAACTGTATAGTAAGTAGTATACTAGGTGGCAATCTTTCTTTAAACAAGCAATATAACCGCTCAATAAAGTACACGGAAGAGTACACGACACTGTTCGGAACGTGCCCATAATAAGTACGCTCGCGGGCTGTACGTATTCCTTCATTCTGCAGCAAGCAACCTATACTAGTAGTGTATAGGTTGAGCTGAGCATCCCACCACTCTTTTCGAAAAGAGCATCAAGGTTAGGTTCGTACTAGTACTATCCATAGCCGAGCCGTCAAATCCCAGACTCACACCAGTGGATTGTACTAGAACGATAATTCACAAGAAAAAGTGGGCCATACAGTGGCTGAAATGCCTTTGGTCGAAAATGACCCACCGTCTGTAGTCTACACCCTGTGCCAGCAAAATTTCATGTTTTGATCATTTTCTGAAACCTATTTAAAATCTGATCCTAAATTGAAAAAAAATCAAGATCTGACCCTTTTGCTATCGCCAGAGTCCATGGCGGTAGGGTCAAACAGGCTGACGGTAGCCTGCACAACCCTACCGTCAAGGTGCTTGGTGGTAGACACGAGCACGCATTGTGTTCAATACTTACGAGGTTTTTGACGGTAGGGCATGCAACCCTACCGCCAGGGTCCTTGGCGATAGACTGTTATACCCTACCGCCATGGTCCCTGGCGGTAGCAAAAGGATCAGATATCGAAAAAAAAATTAAATTAAGGTTAAATCTTAAATAGATTTGGGAAAAAGATCAAAACACGAAATTTAGCCCCTGTGCCCGTGGGAAAGAGGCCCGAGGGGTGTGAGCCAAGAAAAGCGGCCGCCTCTCCACATCCGCTGCCACGGGCGCCGAAGAAATCCCTGGACCGCCTCAGCTGACCTAGCTACCTCCGAGACTACTACCTGTGCGTGCGCCGCTGCCACGGAAGCGAATGCCCCGAGGGCGGTGGGTTCGGCGCATCGCGTGGTGTGGGGATAGGCTCGGCCGCTCGTGTTGGTCGCGCCGCCGCCGCGCACGAGGGGGGTCGAGGGCGAGCGGCGAGGGACGGTTCAAGAACGGCGGCGCTCGAATCGTGCTTCAATGACCGGAGTACGTACAAAAACAAACTAGTCCGTCCAAGGAACTGATCGGCTTTCTTCGCCGTGCGGTCGATTTGGCAGCCGACATGCATGCTCGCAGCTGCAAGAGCACCCGAAACAATGCGATATTGGCCAACCTTGATCTGCTTTTTAATTTCTTCCCGGAGCGACGGACGGATCGGCTTTGCCTCGCGCTTTACGCGACAGTGGCCGCTTACTCGGACAGCGCTCCGCTCCCCCGTCTATTCTTAGTTTAATCAGCCGCTTAATCGGCAAGGTTCAAAGATAAGTTTGTCGTCGGCTGCCCATTGTGGAGCCTGACCGACGAGCACCACCGCTTTGAATTGTGACGCGGACACGCTGCTGTGACATGGACAACCGGGCATATGTATACTGACACGCATGAAGGGGTGCGCTTTTTCTCGTTCGAAAACGTATTATTGACAGCGACAACTAATTAACACGAAATCTATGAGTCGATCACTAGTTAGGTGAGTTGATCGAGTCATCAGCGTTTTCTGGAAGACCATGACGTCTGGGCAATTACCGTGGTTGCATCGATGGTCATTTCCATGTGGAACCATCCAATTGATG